CCCTTTTCTTTCTTTTGTGTGTGTAAATTCCTTTTCTGAAGCTGTTTTAGAAAATATATTGTCTGAAGACATTGGCCCTCGTCACTGTATCCACAGTAGAGGTGATCCCCTCACTCAACTCAACACGTTGGCTTTTTCATCTTTGAGGGGACAACTTTAGAACCTGAAGTTAGACCTGTACTTAGTATCCTCTTCACAGTAATGACGTTCAGCCTTTTCTCTATAACCTCATTTAAAAAAAAATTTTTAAATATATCAATTTTAGAGAGAGGCAGGGAGAGGGAGAGAAAGATAGAAAAACATCAATGATGAGAGAGTCATTGATCAGCTGCCTCCTACACGCCCCCAACTGGGGATGGAGCCCGCAACCCTGGCGTGTGCCCTGACCAGGAGTCGAACCTCAATCTCCTGGATCGGGGCTGTAACCTCACTTCCTGCTATGCAATTCCTACCCATTTTTAAGTTTGACCTCAAGTCCAAGTTTCTTCATAAAATCCGACTTCTCCTCAAGTTTCTCTGAATTCTTACACCCCTTTGGGCACCTACTGTCTGGTCTGAGTATGGTTATGTGCTGCTTTATCTTGCTTTTGAGATGGCTTCATGTGCATGCGGCTCTTCAACAAAGCTGTACATTAGTTCAAAGCAAGTTTCCAATCCCTCTTCAATGTTCTCTTGTTTCAATTGTTTTAATTATTATAGCCAGAGAAATCATATTTCATGAGTAAGGTAATGAGATATGTATTAAACTCAAAGCCTGCCAGTGGGGCCAAATACTTGAAATATCAGGGTCATCCTGGAAAATCCAGGAGATTTTTTTCTGTATATATGGTGCCACTTGTACTCCTGTTACAGCCGCGTGTCCGTCTGCCCTGCTGGGTTTTGAGCAAACCAAGGTCAGTAAAATACTACTTATCTTCCCATTGCTACTGCCCACCGTGGCCGTCGACGCTGTCCTTCATTGTAGCTTTTATGTGGCACTTCTCCTGGGCCAGGCACAGCACTGCCCTCGCAAACCTGATCTCCATAAGGTTCACTCCTTGTCTCCGCTTTGACCCCGAAGCCCCACTAGCGCCTCAAGAGGAGGCGGCACGTAAGCTGGAGTCACGAGTAAGTCCGCGCTTATGTGACCGATGGCCGAGCCACGTGGGAATGTCCTTCTTGCGCCGATTAGGAAGGTGATCTTAGAAACCCAGGCCTTTCCCTTTCTCGAGGTAGGTTAGGGAATGTGAGGATATGAATTCTCGTTTTGATTCTTTAATTACTTACAGTGACTTTCTTTGTGGGATTTTTTTTTTTTTTTTTTTAAAAAGCTATTGACTAGTACATGTTTGGGGATACTTCAGTGTTAGAAATGATCAGCTTTCCTGTATTGAGCTGAGAGATTTGTGAAGAAATTATTGTGTGGGAGTAAGTGGGGGAGGAGAAAAGGGAATAATAAGGATCCAGTGGTTGTGGAAATATTTATGTTTTTCAACCCATGGGGTTCTAGATTCATTTGATGAAATAGAAATACCAAAACTCAGTAAAATTAAATCTTGGGATTGAAGATTGAAATTCCATATAAAAGTGAAGGGAGAGAAATGTTTAGGAAAAGTTGATTACTTCATGTCTTTTGCGAGTAGATTATTTGATAGACTGGAGTATTTCAGAAGACAATTTGCAGGTAGTTTAGTTTTATGGATATGATTGCCAATTGGTCACTTATTTTGCTGGGAAATAGAAAATAGAAGACATATTTCAAAATTATAGAAGCCTCAGGCTATATAATTCTTGTTAAGTACCCCTTGAGATTACTAAATAAGGGAAAAATAAATTTTGCAGTACCCGTGGTGTGCACAAAACTCTACACGAACAAGGATTTGAAAGATGTTCCTATGACCTCGTGGCAGCTGACTGGCTGAGAAATCTCTCACATGTCATGACAGAACCTGAGGATGCATTGTGATCATGATTAAATTTCCACTGGAGAAAAGTAATATCGCAAAGGAGAAGATGTTAATTCCTGCTCAGTAAAAACAAACTAGTCCTCAGTCATAAGGACACTTGTGAATTATTGCAAAAAACGGAGGCTAGAGAATGCAGTGGTTT